CTCATCAGAAACCACAAGAACGAAGACCAAAGTGTGAAGAATCCAAACCTCTCTCCGATTCTACAATTCATAAAATACAAAAAAGAATAAAAGCTTTGTTCAATTTACTTCAATGGAGGAAAAGACCTTTGCATCATCATCATCATTCCAACCAAAAAAGATTTCTCCATCATCTAGCTTCAAACCAAAGTAAGTTTCGTGATTTCATCAATTAATGTGTATGTACTTATACGTAGAGAGGCATGTTTTTATAATTTTCCTTGACTCTTTTCTTGCAGATTAAACGATCAAGATTATATGGAACTGGTTTGTGAAAATGGGCAGATTCTTGCAAAGAGTGGAAGACTCAACAACAATGGTTTTTCTATGATACAACGTACGCAATCTCTCTTGGATTTGTATAAGACCGAGTACGATGAAAGTTTCAAGAAAAACATCAAGAATCTTGGAGACTCACAAGTTGTTCCGGTGAGCGAATCTCAACCACAACAAGATGAACAAAATGATAATGATAGCAAGAAGAAGAAGGAGATTAAGCCCTCGAAGATCGAATTCGAAAGAGATGTTTTTAAAAAGAAGAAACGTTCTGAGTCATCAACAACATTAGTTGATGATTCTTTGAAAGGTTTAAAGAATGTTGAAGTTATTACAGCTCCTCCTGATGAACAATCTGCTGCTATAGGAAGATCAACGGAATTGTATTTTGCTTCTTCATCGAGGTTTTCTCGAGGCACTTCGAGAGATTTTCCTCTAAAGAAGAATTATGGAGACATTGAAGAAGAAGAATCAACCTATTTAAGTAATGTAAGAGAAATTAATTAGTTGGTTCATTATGTTCTTTCACATGGTGGATCATTAAACAAAGTTTTGATTTGATATTTTTATGCAGAATTCGGATGATGAATCAGATGATGAATCAGATGATGAAAAGACACAAGTTACTATGAGAACAAGAAAGACGTTGACTAAGAGAAAACGAAGCACAGAAGTCCATAAGCTATCTGAAAGAGTGAGTTAATTTATAATTAATTTCGCTTAATTTTTTTTTTTTTAAATGTATGAATGATAATGAAATGTAATTAACAGTAATGATTTGTGAACAGAGGCGAAGAGATGAGATCAACAAGAGAATGCGTACTTTGCAAAATCTACTACCTAACTGTTACAAGGTTTGAGATTAATTAACGTAAACAACATTAGATTGTTACTTGAAGAGCTAATCTTCTCTTTGTGTGAGATTTCTGAAGATGTTTAATTGTTTATAGGAGGACAAAGTATCATTGTTGGATGAGGCTATCAAATATACTAGGACCCTTCAACTTCAAGTTCAGGTATTATAAATTAATACATATTTTTTTTGAACAAACCAAATTTCATTAAAACTTACATGGGAGAAAAATATATAATATAGTGTTGGGAGTATATGTTACTATAAAGATTGAAATTTTATTGAAAAATTATTTGTTCTATAGAAAACA